GGTAAACATGTAAAACATGTAAACAAGTAAACAGGTAAACATGTAAAACATGTAAACAAGTAAACAGGTAAACAAGTAAACAGGTAAACATGCTGTTTTCTTGCAGACTGCCTCATTAAGTCTCTGATAAATCCCAGAACCGTGGCGAGGATGGAAACCACGTTTGGTTCGTGGATGAAGGACACGGCGGAGCTGAACGACGAGCGGATCTGGGTGGCAGATCATTTTTCAGGTCAGAGTTTCTGCTCAGAGCGAATCAGTAGATCAGGAGGACGAGAGGTTTTAAAAGATCTTCTGGATGTTTCCAGGCCGGGTGCTGAAGGAGTACAGAAACATTGCAGCTTTTCAAAATAAAAGCAGCCACTTCAGGGATGTAGGAAAGTTCTACCAGGGCTGTGGACACCTGGTCCACAACGAGTCCTTCTATTACCACATCGCTGGGACCTCCAGCATCGGCAGGTAAGACCTTTAACCCAGGGGGTCCAGTCCTGGTCCTGGAGGACCACTACCCTGAAGGTTTTAGAGGTGTCTCTGCTCCAACACCAGACTGACTGAAGGAGTGATTAACAGACTTCTGTAGAACCTGAAGAAGTTCTAAACCTGCAGTCCCACACCATGATGCTGCCTCCACCGTACCTGACAGCTTCAGGGTTCTGAGGTCTGAAAGTCTCACCTGGACTCCTCCAAACGTCCTTCGTGCCTCAGACTTTTTGTAGTCTGTCCATTAAATGTCTCTACAGAAGACATTTGTCTCGTCCAGGTGGACAGCTGCAGCTTTCAGTCCAGCTGGAAGGTTCTGTAGCTTCTTTGGTCCTCTCTGTCCAAAAACTGTCTCCACTGGAGGACAGAGACACTGGAGGACAGAGACACTGGAGGACAGAGACACTGGAGGACAGAGACACTGGTGGACAGAGACACTGGAGGACAGAGACACTGGAGGACAGGGACACTGGAGGACAGAAACACTGGAGGACAGAGACACTGGAGGACAGAGACACTGTTGGACAGAGACACTGTTGGACAGAGGCACTGGAGGACAGAGTCATTGTCCTTCAGGTTAATTTGTGTGTTTGTCCACAGGTTTGACTTGCAGACCAGCCGTCTCCACACGCTCCACATGGACGAGGCCCTGCACAACAACCTGGCCTACCTGCTGCCCAACTCCAAGACCTACTTCAAGCTGGCAGTGGACGAGAACGGCCTGTGGTCCATCTTTGCGTCCAGCGTGGACGACAGCATCGTGGTGGCCCGGCTGGACCAGAAGACCTTCTCGGTGACGTCGTACACCAACACGTCGTACCCCCGCACCAAGGCCGGCAACGCCTTCATCGCCTGCGGCGTCCTGTACGTCACCGACATCAAGGACGCCAGGGTCACCTTCGCCTTCGACCTGCTGAAGGGGAAGCCGATCAACATGACCTTTGACCTCAGGTCACCCGGCGGGGTCCTGGCCATGCTGTCCTACAGCCCGAAGGACAGGCACCTGTAYGTGTGGGACCAGAGCTGGGTCCGGCTCCACGTGGTCCACTTCATCTCTGACGAGTGAAGTCGTACTGCGACTGTTCCTGACCAACGCTGTGAACTAGCAGCAGGAGCACAGCCTGGATCCCGTCTGCATGAAACTCTTYATCAGGATGTAAACGTTTTCCTTTGATCTGATTCTGTGAAGCATGAGCCTCCATCCATCACATCCCCACAAAAATATTTAAAAAATCAACCTGACGAAGCTGACCTTTGACCCCTTCACTTCTCCCACCTTCAAACTGCAGAGCCCTGGAAACATCTATTATCTATATCACACACACATCTGGTTTGTATATCCCTGTGGGGACCTCCCATCGACTTCCATTCATTTATATCCTAACCCTGACCACATACTCTAAAATCAACCTCACAGGTACCTCAGTGGTTCCCAACCTTTTCAGACTGGTGTACCCCCTGAGCCATTTTGTCATATCACTAGTACCCCCTCAGTGAAACGTAATGAAGATTCTCCAAAACTATAATGTACAACAACTGATTATTAAATGAAAATTGTTTATTTAATCCTCTTAACTTGAACATTTAACTCTCATTTTATTCTTTTCAACTCAAATTAAATATTAAGAATAATACACTGCCTTGAAAGTGAATAAGTAATTAAAGAAATAAACCAGGTAATGGCAGGTACAGGAAGCGGCAGCATCCAAAATACATTGTATTGTCCAAAGTACCTCAGAAACTAAACCAAACGAAGCAAATTCTGAGATTTTATACTGGATTCCATTTTATTTTGGCAATTCAGTTTGCATTTTCCGCATTGCGAAAATTAATTTTTATTAATTAAACACCTGATTTGTCCACGTACCACCTGTAATATGTTCGCGTACCACAGGGGTACACATACCCCTGGTTGGGAATCACTGACCTAACTGACCCTAAAACTAACCTAAACCTTTGTCCCAAACCCACACCCATAATTTGCGAGGCTGCTTTTTTTGGGAAAATTGACCACACGTTGTAGGAAAAACCCGTCCACACACACACACACACACACACA